TACAGGAAGTCCTATTTACGCTAAAGGTCAAGAGTTGTCTAATGTTACATAATTTATACATTGATTAGCTGATAAAACACTCAATGAAAATAAAATACATTATAACTGGTCCTTGGTTGTGCTTGTCGGATTGTTTAGAAAATGCTTATAAGACAAAGTTGCTGCACTGTCATTCACTGCACATATTAGGAACGAATGGCGAAAACCAGAATTCGTTCAGTTATACATTGACATGGCGAGCCTGTACTTGTTCTCAGAAAAAAAAAAAAAAATTCATTCATTTAGATTTTTGGCTGAAAACAATCGCATGTGTCTACTTACTGTTTCAAACAGATGATCGTGTCCTGGCTATTTGAGAAGAAAGAACTATTCTGAATAGACGTTTTAAGACGCTTAGAGCTACTAGGAATAAATATATTTTTGTCCTCCATTTTTCTTTGATCTTTTTTTTTTTATAAAGAGCATTTAAAGAAGGTAAAAAGAAATATGTTAAGATAAGTAAAATTTGTCATTATGCTTTGTTGATAAATGATATTCACTCTTACATTTTCCACACGGTAATTGGTCTTTTATTACGATTTGCAAATAAATAGAATATGCTATTTAATTATTTTGTAAACAAATTGTTTACATTTTGTCGCATGTGATCACAAGCCTATAGTACTTTATATTGCTAATAATATCATGTGACTATTTGTAATCATATGATTTCCACTTATTCAACACTTTTCTCAACTTTTCTCATGTGACCTAAAGTGTGCTTATGCCTCCTCATTTGTAAACACAATAGAAATGTGTATTGTATACATGATATAAACGCATATTGTGCAGGATAGGATACCACTAGTCTCAAAGGGACTCTGTAGTCACCAGAACCACTACAGCTGAATGTAGTGGTTCTGGTGTCTGCATCTAGCATGTCCCTGCAGTGTTAACACTGTAAACACTGCCTTTTCAGAGAAAAGACAGTGTTTACATTGTTGGCTTGAAACATCTCTAGTGGCAGCAATTCAAAAGATCACTAGAGATTCTTCCTAATCCAGTGTGCACAGTGTGCAGAACTGACGTTCAGCATCTCCACGCACTAAATGGAGATGCTGAATATTCCTCATAGAGTTGCAATGATTAAATTCATTAGGGGATGCTGATTATTGCAGCATGGCAATAACCTCTGAATGCTTTCCTATGGGAAAGTATTAGATTGGTTGAGATCATCAAGACTGATGATCTCAGCCATGGAGGCCTAGACAGGCGGGGCCAGCCTCGGAAGAAAGGTGACTAAAATCACCTTTTTACTGTGAGTAAAATCACCTTTTTACTGTGATTGGACGGACGCCGGTCACCTAAGCAGTTCGTTTAACACTATAGTGTAGGAATACATGTTAGTAATGCTGACACTAAAATATTCCTTTAAGCTTTTTGAAGAAATAAGTTTCGGGGGTGTACATAAAGGACATCATTACGAGTAGAGTTGTAGACTGTTTATGGGCAGTTATCAGGATTTTGATTTGGATCCTGCTAGTAAAGACTAGGAAGAGTATTTGATGTATGACGAGTGGTGGGTGTTCCTTTAAGAAAAACCTTTCTTCCTTTGAAATATTACTATGCATGTCTGTGAGTATCTAAATAAAGGAACACTTGGTAACTGAGGAGTATTGGACCATTAAAAATGTTTTTGCTATAGCTATTATAATGTTTTATACAGAATATGTTGATCCTAAAGTGTATTTTATATAACTTTTGACTATTTTAGTATTACCCTATTATCATGTACGTTTTCTCCTCATCGGGTTTCATAGCGATTGCATGTGTATAGTAGGGAAGTCAACCCTACAGGGGTATCAGAGGGTCTATTACACCAAGATGGTTCTTGGAGGAGGCAGTATTTTTCCATAGCTCATCACAGGTGACGCCTATTAGTGAGTTGCTATTTTATCTTCTAAATGTGCAAATTCCTGGTTGCTTCCTTTTTTATCTGCTAAAGTAAAAATGTGAGGAGCTGCTCTCCTTCATTTTCACTTGATGGTCCAAAGATTGGAGAATGTGCCCTGTGTCAGCTGGGTAGAATAGTGACAGCAATTGGTGGATAATATTCTATTGAATACTTGGTAGCAGAATTGACAAGTTGACATTCCTCCATCTCCCGGTAGAGAATGAGGCACTGCATGCTACAGAAATAAGGACTGATCACCTACATGAGCAGAATTAATGACCAATCACAAACAGGACTTTTTGCAGAGATTGAACGTTACCAATGTTCTATCCATCAGGAAGATATAAAGAGAGAACACACAAATTAATATAAACTAATGAATGCAAAGACAAATGGGGCATACATTGTTAAAGATCATTTAAGTTTAAATGCCCACCCCATACGCAAATTATAAGGGTCACAATGAAGCATGCTTTGCTCATGTGTATGCCTGTGAATGTATCTGTATATGCAAGTACTGCATATATAAAATTATTAACAAAGGGTAAGTTTTGTACTGTAGCTGGAGTCCGCTGAGTCCCACCTGGGGATGTATAAATTAGTGCAGTAACCAGAACACCCAATGTTTTGCATCACTAGCCTGGGGGGGGCTAGCCCAGATAGCAGAGCTCAGGAGAGGGTCTGTCTGTCCCCATTGTTTGATTATTACCCGCTGCGGTGAGGATACACATTCTGAGCTGTATTAATATGCTGTGTTTATATCAATAGATCAGTTCTTGTTCTACTACTAATGTATGGGCATGTGGGCTATATTCACTGCTATAACAACTGCTATAGTGATGCTGAAGCAGCTGTACCAAAGAACAGAGATGAAGTGATGGGGAGACCCTGCTCTGGTCCAGACAATGCAATACCAGACAATGCTGTGCTATCTCATAATATCAGCTGTTATAGTCTGTTAGGCTGTGTTATAGTCTCACATTATTTCCATAATTATTATTAAAACTTGCATTTATATACGCCAACATATTCCGCAGCTCTTTACGATATTATAAATGGGGGGATTTTTAACAATAAATGGTACAATTACAAAATGTTACAGTAGCAATAGGTTGATGAGGACCCTGCCCAAATGAGCTTACATGGAAATTGTTACCTAAGACTGCCATGATGGAGAATCCTCCTCGATGGTCAGTCAGCTGAGCAAGGTAGGTCCACTGCCTAACGTGGGGATGGTAATAGCCCACCACCACCAGCTTGTCAATGTGCTAATAGCAGCCAAAAATGTTTATTAGTAGTAGTATTTATAAAGTGCCAAGATATTCCACAGAGCTTTAAATTGGAGAAATGGGTAAGAAAGGCCCTGCTCAAATGAGCTTACAATTTATAATAGGGGTATATATATATATCATTTGGAGTCTTGCCCAAGAACATTTACTGGTAAGGTGGGCTGACTGAGATTATAACCGGAGTTTGTAAGTCACTATTAGTTCTAGAATAGAAGTGGAGGCATAGAGCCTCATGCACATACATGGCCTGTTATAGCAGTAAATGTATCTAGAGTGAACTGATAGGATCATATCCTGACAATTATGTTTTATCTTAATTTATTTATGTTCCTTTAAAAGAAGTTAGCTCTCCACCACTAGTGGCCTCCCTAGCCACTAGTCACTTCAGTCCTCACCTGCCTAGGACTAATTACAGATCCTACAAAAGGCCACACCTGAGAATACCAGTGGACTTTACATTGAAGTTGGTGATTTACCTGAATCACTTCATATCATGGCTCATGTGAACCTGCTCCACATTTACCTTCAAACCTGCTCCTAATAATAACCTGCTCCATTCTTACCTATACGTCAAACCATCCTTCCTCTGTAACCAGCCTGCCTCTGTTACCAGCCTGCTTCTGTAACCAGCCTGCCTCTGTAACCAGCCTGCTTCTGTAACCAGCCTTCCTCTATAACCAGCCTTCCTCTATAACCAGCCTGCCTCTATAACCAGCCTGCCTCTGTAACCAGCCTGCTTCTGTAACCAGCCTTCCTCTATAACCAGCCTTCCTCTATAACCAGCCTGCCTCTATAACCAGCCTGCCTCTGTAACCAGCCTGCCTCTGTAACCAGCCTTCAACTGTTACCAGCCTGCTTCTGTAACCAGCCTGCCTCTGTAACCAGCCTTCCTCTGTAACCAGCCTTCCTCTGTAACCAGCCTTCCTCTGTAACCAGCCTGCCTCCGTTACCAGCCTGCCTCTGTAACCAGCCTGCCTCTGCCTTCTCTGTAACCAGCCTGCCTCTGTAACCAGCCTTCCTCTGTAACCAGCCTTCCTCTGTAACCAGCCTGCCTCTGTAACCAGCCTGCCTCTGTTACCAGCCTGCTTCTGTAACCATCCTGCCTCTGTAACCAGCCTGCCTCTGTAACCAGCCTTCAACTGTTACCAGCCTGCTTCTGTAACCAGCCTGCCTCTGTAACCAGCCTTCCTCTGTAACCAGCCTTCCTCTGTAACCAGCCTTCCTCTGTAACCAGCCTGCCTCCGTTACCAGCCTGCCTCTGTAACCAGCCTGCCTCTGTAACCAGCCTTCCTCTGTAACCAGCCTTCCTCTGTAACCAGCCTGCCTCCGTTACCAGCCTGCCTCTGTTACCATCCTGCCTCTGTGACCAGCCTGCCTCTGTTACCATCCTGCTTCTGTAACCAGCCTGCCTCTGTTATCAGCCTTCCACTGTTACCAGCCTGCCTCTGTTACCAGCCTTCCTCTATAACCATCCTGCCTCTGTAACCAGCCTGCCACTGTTACCAGCCTGCCTCTGTAACCAGCCTGCCTCCGTTACCAGCCTGCCTCTGTAACCAGCCTGCCTCTGTAACCAGCCTTCCTCTGTAACCAGCCTTCCTCTGTAACCAGCCTGCCTCCGTTACCAGCCTGCCTCTGTTACCATCCTGCCTCTGTTACCATCCTGCCTCTGTGACCAGCCTGCCTCTGTTACCATCCTGCTTCTGTAACCAGCCTGCCTCTGTTATCAGCCTTCCACTGTTACCAGCCTGCCTCTGTTACCAGCCTTCCTCTATAACCATCCTGCCTCTGTAACCAGCCTGCCACTGTTACCAGCCTGCCTCTGTAACCAGCCTGCCACTGTTACCAGCCTGCCTCTGTAACCAGCCTGCCTCTGTTATCAGCCTTCCACTGTTACCAGCCTGCCTTTGTTACAACCCTACCTGGAAATTACAGACATTCTTTATTATTTGCAAGTAACCTGTTCTGTAGCAAGTATCCTGTTTTGTGGCATATTACCTAAATTCTGTTTTACCTCAAGTTCCATAATATGTCTAAAATCACTAATAAAGTACCTGAAGTCAACCCTGGCAGAAGTCTCCTATCTGACCTGCACAAGATCATGACATGAACTCAGAACCCCCTGCTATTAGGAAGGAAAAAAACAAAAAACAAGACATGAGATAAACTATAGGTTTATCAGTGGCATTTAGTATTGATTATAGAGCATGTAAATCTATGACTGGGAGGCTAATTAACACATTGAGTGCAGTAATCAGGGCAGGATATGATCAATGCACAAAACATTTTTTTAAATTTTATTTCTTTTATTTCTTCCTTGTGTAAGGCGAGAATGAACTTTTTAAATGTAGGAGGCAGATTAGCAGAATTAATGCATATGAAAAAAGGACTGACTCAAAAACAGTCAAATGATGCTGTAGAAGTGATCGATTGAAGAATTCGGTTTTCTTCTACATTAGCCAAGACACAGCAAAAGAATATTATTTATTTTTATTGTTTTAAATAGAACAGAAGAATATGATGTTTTTTTGCGGTTTACATTGCCGGACCTTACTAAGAATTTGCATGTAGAGAAGGAAAACAAAATGAAGTAACAAACAAAACGATAAATATTCTATGTTTATCATGATTGGTTTCGAAAAAGATAAAAAAAAAAAGAACAACAACAAATCAATTAAGTGAAAGTATTGCAAAGAATACCAGTTTGTACATTGAAAAGTGTTGCAAATAGAAGATTTATTTTGGAAATCTAGAAAATTAATATAGAGTTTCCAGCAGTATGTGCATAGGTTTTTTTTTTTTAATTGATTACAATGCCCTCTAGAATAGATACTTTACAAATTAAGATAATATTCATAATTTATTGCATATGGTATATCCATGGATACTTAAAACATCTGCTTCTCAGTCCATAGAACTTGGTAATTAATGTTGATATACCTGGAGCTGTGTGATAGGACTGTCCTTCAAGAAAAACTTAACACAACAGCCCCAAAGAACAACAAAAAAATGTACTAATGCCGACAAAGATGCATAGATTTCTGCAGCTCCTGCAACAGGTTGAGCTTGGAATAGAGATATAGGTTTGGAAGTGATATGAACAGATAAGGGAAGCCACAGATGGAATCACGAGTGAAAGAAGGGGAGATAAAGAGGTTAGTGGTATAAGTAGGTTTGGTTTCAGGAAAAAAGAAAACGAGAAAAAGTAAAGTCAAGCTTGTGGTCGGGAGGCATGAACGGGTAAGATCCAAATACAAGAAGATGATAAAATGAGATGAAATTGAAAGAATGATGCTGAAGTTGGAAATAAACAGGTAAGGAGATAAGTCTGGAGGTATGAAGAAGATATTGCCAACATTATTGGAAAAAAAATTACTTAGCTTGGAAGTCATATATATTTAGGCCAAGTGAACTAGCAGATTTTTTTAAATGTATTTTGTTTAATGACGCTGTTATTGCTTTTTTTTTTTGTTGTCTGGCATAGTCATAATATTAAGAAGCCTCTGCTACGTACGGTGGTTGCTTGGCTCATAGTGACACATGGTGTTATGCAACACTGCCCAATATGGGAGTGGAAGGAGGAACTAACACTCAAGAAGGAACGTGCCCACTCACATGGCATGCAGGTGCCAAGCGGATGTAGTTGCTGCTAAACGTGATGTGGATTGCAGTCACCTAGAACTGTCTCCATGGGTCCTGATGTTAGACAAAAAAAACGATATATGTATTGCTTCTCTCGAAAACATTTATAAGTAGCTATCTCAATATCTGACAACCAACCATGTCCTTTATTTGATGATCAATATGTATGTATCTTAAATGATGGCCTGTATTTGTGTAGGATATGTGATCGTCAATCATGCAACTGCCTAGATTTTTTACCAATGAGAGTCCCCTAGGTATAAGAGTTTAAAGGACAGAGGGGGTCTAAGCAAAGGGTGGTATTGGCAGTTGTCGAAAGGTTTGTTTTAGATTGTATCTGTTTGGATCAATTGATCTGCGAGATTCAGAAATAAGTAAATTGTCAAAAATCAATGTTTCTGCACAGCGAAGTGTATATGCATAGCCAGGGCTGCCATCAGCAATTTTGGGGCCCCTTACACAGCTCGAGGTCTGGGTCCCTGGAGCCCACCTATGAATCCACCCACAAAGATGCAGTTTATGTGTATAGTGGAAGCAGTGTGTCTCTAGTTGATGTATACGTTTATAGTTGATTTATAGAAAATGGCTCAAAGACAAACAAAAAACAGAAGGACTGCACGCTAACTTCTGGCACCATAACCACTACAATAAACCATTGTGGTTATAGTGCTTAGATTGTCCCTTTTAGATAAATTTGTTTTCAGCTTCCTCTAAACAATGCCTAAATTCATAACTCTTTGTTCCAGTCACCTTTTTCCCTGGCTCAAGTTAAAAAGACCACATTAGATATCATTTACTAGTTTAAGATAATACAAACTAATTAAATAACTTTAATTTTTTTATCTCAGTTTCTGATTTCATATTTTGCGCAGTTTGATTATTTTCCTATTCTTCTAATCTTTGTCAACATTTAGCTATTCTGAATTTATCATGCCTCCTTTGAAGGTCCTAAATTTAACCTTTGTCTGGAGAACAAGCACATCAAACTGGGGTGTCAATCATCTACTCCTTGTTGTTAAAGCTGTAGGTTTGTGTAAGTGTAAGAATGTGTAACCATTTCAAACTTCAGTATCCATGAAGATGAATAATGCATACACCTTAATGAGAATTGGCATTGAGTCATACATTTGGCAACTGTTTATCATTCTATTAGGGGAACAAATCTCAGGAATTATTTTCATGCATTCACTCATCCATACAGTAAATTAGGGGAAAGCCTGATAGGGAAATGTAAGCCTTCTCTAAGAGTGGAGGGTAGCAGATAGGCGGTGCCAGTAATAAAGGCAAAGTACATAAAAATAATAATAATATAGTCTAAGTGATTAAAAGTCCAGTAGTAGAGTTCAAGAATGTATTTTGGGGGACTGTATGTAGAAACCAACGAAAAATGTAGAATATGGGATAACTGCTCCGTAAGTTGAAGATGTTCTTCGTATGTGGAAATAAAAGAGACAACTAATGGTGCAGTATATTCAACGATCAGATGTTATTCTGGTAAAAGTCTTATATGATCCTACTCACGTTTTATAGAGCTAATGGACTAGCTCTAGTATAAAGTGCATACAGTGGTATAATTCCCACTAATAGGATATGTGTGGTGATGTCTTGTCTGAAGGAAGGTCATATGAAATAAAAAGGAACAGCAATAGTGTTCTCTATTTAAAATCAGGAAAGCAGAAAATAAAATATAAAGTGGTTACTCACATTTACACGAGCAGGCGGACTGCTCAGTGTATAGGGATTGAGTGGTATAATCCCCACCTAGGATTCTTTGGAGTAATGTCTCACTGGAACAGGACAGAACTCAGAAGCCAGGTAAAATAGGTAACATAAAATAAAAAATTAAAAATAAATATATATATTTTTTAAAGTAAAATGGCAACTCACAGTGAGGAAGTGACCAAAATACCTTTAATAAAATACAATACCCTTTTCTTCTCTAAGAGTGGGCTGTTTTAGAGAATTCCTGGAAGTTTGATTTGGATTTGCGGGTGCTACAAGCATACGGGAAAGGTCGGTCACAGATCAGAGGGACCAAGACAAGTATAATTAGCAATTAGACAGGGGATGTAGTTTCTAGATACATTCAAAGACATCACATATGTTGCAAGCATATCTATGGTTATCCAATCGATCCACACACAGTGGTAATTGATTCATGCACTGCAATAATTAGAAACAGATGTTTTAAAAGTTATTTAATGTTGTGCATGTCTGCTTGTAGGTAAGATTAGCTCACCAAGGAAAGGTTCATATTCAAGTGAAACATTGGGGCTTCTTCAAGGGTGGTCTACGTTTTGTAGGTGATTTAATTTGTTAGCATTATATTTAAAAAATTTTGTATTGACGCTCCCTTCATTCATATTATATCTGATACTTGCGCAAATACAAAATGGCTTTGGTTTTGTTTGTTAAACTGGTGTGCGGGTCTTATTCGTTTCTATTTTTTTCTATATAATATGCTATTTTGTGGCAACATGTCATATATAAATGTTTGTTTGTTTGTTTATTTATTTTTCGGGAAGCCTATGCAAGAATAAGAGAAAATATTTAAGTACAAAGATGCGGCATTAAAAGTCGCTTTAAAAAAATCACATTTCGTTTTTATATATAAATATATCCAAATACAGTGAATCTACAAGAAAACAGCAGTGGACGCAGAAAAATAAAATAAAACTCAAATCATAAATCACCGTAATACAGTCTATCTCTCAGGTCGGTGTACTTTCAGGATTGAATAATAGCTAGACGATAAAGATCCTGTTTGGCTCAGAAAAGGGTATGACGTAACACGGATCAGGAGATAAAAGATAAAAAAGAAGAATTTAAAGTAGGTAGATAAAACCATCCTTAAGCAGATGTATGCATAGTCAAAAAGCATGATTATTAAAAAGAAGGAAATATCTTGCATAACAAATATCTCAGGTTTCTCTTAGTTGCAATGCACTTTGTTTGAATATACCAGTACAGGTATTTAATTGTTGATAGTAACTGTTTAAAGTCCATAATATGTTTAGACTCATTGAGACCCTTTGGGAATAATGCCAAAAGTCAATACATTTCGATATTGTCATCTACATCTATGCAGAAGGACTGTAATTGTGTAATCTAGACTTGTGCATTCGGTTTCTCCTGAATTGCAAATCTTCTGAATTTCTGGGGCGCTTGGCAGGTTCAGTTGATTCATGACTCAGTGTTCCAAAAAAAAAAAAAATAGATGACTGATGGCTAGGAATAGTCCCTAAAACAAAGAAAGAAGTAAAGAAAAAAAAAATAGTAAACAAACTGGTGGTTAAAAGCTTAAAATTTGCCGACTTCTCAAAATTAGTCTAACTCTCAAATTAATGA